CCTAATCATTGCTTCTTGTTCTTTTCAACATCCAAGTTTTGCTTTCAGCAACCGAATCTGAAACTTGCTAAACTTTGAGAACTGCTGGCTAGAACTTTACCAAAAAACAGTTGTCTGCTAGTATACATTGGGAACTACTTCCAGAACAGACACCAAAACACAGGGATTCTCAAGTCCTTATATAACATAGAATTGGCATATAACCTATGTATATCCTCCCACTTACTTTAAGTCATCTCCAGATAACTTATAATGCCCAATACAATACACACGCTATGAAAGAATTGTTATACTGTGCTGTTCGGGGAGTAATAACAAGAAAAAGTCTGGAATATTCAGGGCAGATGCGATTTTTTCCTGAATATCTTCATCCCATAGTTGGTGGCTGGCTCTAATTATTATTTGCATCTACCATGTGCTAGGCTGAGAGCAGGAACTGTCAGCCCTTGATGCATCTTTCTCTTTTCTTTCACTGCACGTACAGCAGTGTCTAATTACATTTCATCTAGGGACACACACGTGTGTAATGCATTCCCCTCACAACACAAACTGTAAGCTGCAGGTGTGCAGGACCCTTGTCTGGTTTCCTCCCTACCACGTCCCTGCAGCCTTGTGCCCAGTCCACAGGGGTCCTCAACTAATACCCATGTGATGGATAACTCTTCCCTCCCTTGCTCACCCCCTTCCTCCTAGGTGATGAATTCAGCCGCAGTAACAAGGTCTCTGAGTTGCAACACCGGTGTCTACATTTAGGGGCCCCAGGAGTGTCTGCCTGGGAACCTCACTCCCATTGGATGTCCACACTCTGGTAACAAAGGAGATGTCTTCTGTGCTCCAAGCACTCAAGTGTTAGGGGGCCTCTCTTTCGAAGGCCCTAGAAGAGAAATGTATGCAGTGGGTTTGGAAACCTAAGCAATGACCTGGGAGGTGACTTTGCACACATGAAGGAGCCCGTCAGGAAAGAAGGGGACTCTGTGCAGATTAATCCTGTGCAGATGAACACGGTCAGGGGCTGGGGCACTGCAGGCGGCTCTCTTCTGATCAGGGCCACCCTGCAGACCCAGAAATGCCCTAATCTCTCCTCCCAGCTGGCCTGTGGTGCCTTAGGGCCAGGAGCTGACGTCAGAGGTTAGGGTGTTTGCAAAGGGAGGGTTGTGGAGACAAGTCAAAGCTTCCAGCACGACCTCAGAATGTGAAAGGGCATTGGAAGAACACTTTCCGATAACAGAAAAAAAATATTGATTTTTAAAAACTCTTACAGTAGACAGAGATGCAGATGACATCACTTCCTGTTACTTAGGAAGGTCAGATAAATCATAAATCAGATGCCAGCTCTCAGCATACTTCTGATCCAGATGAAAGAGGGGTGAAGAAGACTACAGCAGCATGGGGGTGGGTGGATGCAGAGGGCACTGCTGTGTGCTTGGCAGAGCTCACCTGGGCTGTGTCTATGCCCATCTTCTGGGGAGAAGAAAGGATAGCAAGTGAATTTTTTTAAGATTTATTTATTTGAAAGGTGGGGGGAGGAGGAGACAGAGAGGTATCTTCTAACTGCTGGTCCACTCCCTAAATGGCCTGCAGAGGCTGTAGCATGCCCAGACTAAGCCAGGAGCCTGAAATTCCATCCAAATGCATAGCAGGGACCCAAGGAAGACTTGGACCATCTCCTACTGCTCTCGCAGGTGCGTCAGTGAAGGAGTCACAGCAGGGAGGGTAACAAGGTAGAGAACAAAGGGGACCCTCTGGTAATGCGGGACATTTTCCTGGCCTAGCTGGGAAACCAGCCGGAGCTAGAAAACAAGAGGCATAAAGAATTTCATTGATTAGCAAGAGCAGGCTCCAGCGCAAAGGCTGTGGAGAAGGTCAGGTGGCTGGAGCTGTCCGTGAAGTCTCAGGAGTACTGGAAAGACAAACAGCTCCCCACCAAGAGGCCCCAGATAGAAGTTTCTCTTTGTCCCATAAAAAGTCACAACCACATGGGAGTTTAAGAAGCCAGATGCACTCCCCATACAAGGAACACTTTTCTTAAAGGACCTTGCACCATCTTTCCAGTGGGTATAAAAGCCCCACATCACTTCCCTTCAATGGCTTTTTCCTTCTGCAGGAGCCCCTCCCAGCTCTTTCCTGGGAGTCTGCCCTCTGCTCTTCTCATCTCTCTGCCTTTTTTTTTTCTTTAAAATACTTTGCTGAAAACCTTCTTGATTTGTTCATCCGCCTCATACTTCGTGGCAGACAGAGCAAGTTTCCAGAATTAGCAGGGAGCTGGCTGGAAGTTGAGGGGCTGGGACTCGAACTGGTGTCCACACGGGATGCCAGTGTCGCAGGCTACGGCTTAGCCTGCTGTGCCACAAGACTGGCCCCAAGGGCAGGAAGTGAAGTAAGGGATGACACCAGGCTGCTTCTGCTGTCCCCACCCACGGAGCACATCCTACCCCGTGGGAACCTAGCAGTTCCCTAACAGCTTCTTTCTCCTTTGCACTCCTGGCGTGGTTTGCACACTCGATAGAGCTATCCTGCACAGCTTTCTGTTTCAGTGGGAAGCGCCTGGCTCCCCACTGTCGGCGGCCTCCCGGAGGAGCCTGAGGCTCTGGAAAACTTGAAATGAGGCTTGTGGGACTAAGACATGAGTTTTCCTCTTCTTCAACTGTAATTAATTGAAACTTTAGGAGGCACATGTGGGTAATAGCTGCCGTGTTGGGCAGGACCGTGCTGGAAAATGATGACTGCAGATCGGCCAGTGACTTCATCCTCGGAGAGGCCTCAGTCTCGTTTCCATTTCCCAGCTGAGGATCCCAGGGGTCCGAGGGTGAAGCAACTGGCAAGCACGGAGTGGAATGCACACTCAAGATCTCTGCTCTCCAGGCTACACTTGCAATGACATCCAACTTCAATTCTTGTGCACACCATAGACGCCTGGAAACGCAAGTAGGAGCTCCGAAAACTCTCAACTCTCGGCAAATAGCTATGAAAGGAGGCTGCTCACGGGGCGCATGACTTCTTTCAACACAAACACATAGGAAAGTACTTCCCTTGGTTCTGACTTTGGAACCTGAGTTTTTACAGCTTCCTGTCAGCAGTAATTATATCTGACAGCCTCTCACTGTGCTTTGAAACTTTTCCTCTAATCAGATATCACCCCCATGAAATCATGAGATGGCCACAGTATGGAAAAGACTTTATGAGACTTCTGCCACATCCTGTTAGGCTGTCTAAGCATTATTCTATGCTGTTTACCCTCAGCTGACAAACCAGATTATACTTTCTCGCCTAAAGCAACGGGATGCTAAGGAACTACACAAAAGATGAAGAATTTAGGATTTCAAAAGAGTGACTTGGAAACAAAGAGTGTCAAAGGCAGGATTTTTTAAAGGGCAGCGAAGGCAGCACATAAGGAAAATAGTAGGCAATCATTTTGTCAAATTTTCCTTGAATACTTTGTGAAGCATTTCGCCCCTTCCAAAATCTGCGAGCCTGAGCTTGGGACACTCGTGTGCCCTGTGCCTGGAACCACACCAGTGCTGTCTCCACGATCCTCTTCTCTGTTAGTGAGCACCCCCTGCAGGGCCCAAGGAAGGTGCAAGGTCATGAATTTATTGAACAGTGCAGGTTTTGACGGCCCACACCACCGCCGTGTGGTTTTATCACCATGTTTCGTACTGCCAAGAGGATTTAAGACAATCCTTCATCTTGCCTACTCGAGTAAAATCAAAGAGATGATGGCGTGATAAACTGAAATGCAGATAAAGAAATGGGGTAAAACCACAAACTTTGAGGATCAACGTCTGACCGAAGTCAATATAAACCATGGGTGACTATTTTATTATCTAAAATCCTGTTTTGGGATAGAGCTAGTGGCGTCTCTGGCTTAGCCAGCTGAAGGAGACACTGCAACCAGTCTCATGGAAGCCCTTGGGTATCAGCAATCATGCAACAGGACCTGCTATTCCGTGGTGGCACCCTCAGTTGGCAGCACATGGAGCAGGTGCACAGGAGTGGCTGGTGGATTAAGGCTGACAGCAAATTCCTTGACAAGCCGCCCATTAGGGAGTGGGATCTGTGTTTCCTCCCCGAACATGGTGAGCCCTGTGAATGCTCTCACCCATGACACTGCGCGTGAGCCTCCAGCTGGGGCCTAAATAAGCCGGCAATTGGTATCTTCTGTCTTTTGGAACATTCTCGCTAGGACCCCTTGAGCTGCCATTTAATAAGCCAAGTTACGGTGAGCCCACCATGCAAGAAAGACCATGTACTGGCACAAGAGTAGCGGTCCCAGCTGAGCCTGCATTCGTCATCCCTGCCAAAGATCTGGACATGCAAGTGCAGCCACCACAAGGCAGCTGAACATCCCCAAGTGACCCCCATCAATGCCACGTGGATCAGAGGGGTGTCCCAGCCACGGCGGGCCTGATCCACAAAATCCCAAGAGGAAGTAGAAACAGTCCCTGCTTCACATCTTCGTATTTCAGAGTAGTTAGTCAGGAAAATAAATGGAACACAAGGCCTTTTTTCCTTGCATAACCTATGTCCTCTCCAAATCCACCTGTTAACTGCTTCTACTCTGTCACCTGTGTATTTACTAGATATGAGGCTTCATCCTGCCCACCTACCCAGTCACTGCAGCTTTTAACATACCCCTACCAGGGCCAGCGCTATGGTGTAGCAGGTGGAGCCACCGCCTGCAGTGCCGGCATCCCATATGGGCACCGGTTCAAGTCCTGGCTGCTCCACTTCTGATCCAGCTCTCTGCTGTGGCCTGGGAAAGCAGTGGAGGATGGCCCTAGTGCTTGGGTCCCTGCACTAACGTGGGAGACCCAGAAGAAGCTCCTGGCTTCTGACTTCAGATCAGCTCAGCTCCCCGTTGCGGCCATTTGGGGAGTGAACCACTGGATGGAAGACCTCCCTCTCTGTCTCTACCTCTCTCTGTAACTCTTTCAAATAAATAAAAATAAATCTTAAAAAAAACAAAAAAAAAACAAAAAAAAACAAAAACATACGCCTACCAATGAAGCCAGAGGACGGTGGGTTAGGCTGAATCTTCTCCTTTGTGTTCTCCTGGATGATGTCCCAAAGCTGCCATATAAACTTAGGATGCAGAATGTAAAACGGCTGATTGGGATTTCTCTGACGATGCTGAATATACGGAGTGAACAGGTTGTAATCTGGCTTCTTGTACCACTAAGGTGGGGAAAACAAAACAAAAACACACAGTCAAGTTCAGAGGACCACAGTGTTGAAAGGAGGCAGGGCATGTGGGCTGGAGGGAGGGGCCTGTGACTCCATAGCCACTTCCCTCCAGGGTGAAAGGCCCAGCACACAGAGAAAGGAGGGTTCTAGCTCTCGTTGGCACTAACACTTTATATTTAGTAAAATGAGAGAAGGGACTGGATGAGGGGCCAGACAGATAGTAAACGCCTTAGCATTTGTGAGCCCTGCAGTCTTGGTTACTACTATTCCATTCTGCCACAGAAGCAGCCATAGATCACACAACTGAATGGTGTGCTGTCTTCTAACAAAATTTTATTTATAAACATAGGTGGTAGCCAGAGTTGGGTCATGGCTATAAGGCTGCTGACCCCTGAGCTCAATCAATGTATTTCAAAAATAAGTTTTCCATCTACAGTGGCAGAACACACATCATTGCTGCCTGGTTCTGGAATTGGGACTGGCAAGATTGATGAGGATGGACTGACATGGGGTGATGGGTATGTTTTAATTCTTGATTGTGATGGTGGGTGCTTGAGTGTATTAATTTGTTAACACTCATCAAAATGTACACATACATTTACTGTAGGTAAATTATTGCATGAAAAAAATCAGGAGACGGCGCTGTGGCATAGTGAGTAAAGCCACCGCCTGCAGTTCCAGCATCCCATATGGGTGCCACTTCAAGTCCTGACTTCTCCACTTCCGATCCAGCTCTCCACTATGGCCTGGGAAAGCAGTAGAAGATGGTCCAAGTCCTTGGGCTCCTGCACCTGTGTGCAAAGACCCGGAGGAAGCTCCAGGCTCCTAGTTTCGGAGAAGCCAATTGGGGAGTGAACCAGCAGATGGAAGACCTCTCTCTCTCTCTCTCTCTCTCTCTCTCTCCTTTTCTTTCTGTGTAACTCTGACTTTCAGATAAATAAGTAAATCTTAAAAAAAAGAAAGAAAAAAAATCAATAAAGTAGACTTTGGAAAGCTTCAGAACTGTGCCAGGTATTACTGTGACCTGAGACTTGGAGATGGTGGGTGGGGGGTGGTACAGTTCATAGAGCTTTGAAAGCCAAGACCATGTTCCCAGTCCTCAACTGCAAAACAAGTTCACTGGCCTTTCATCCCAGATTTCACCAAAAGCAGCTGGATATGCCATGGTTTGCCACAGTGTCCCAGAGGTAGCCTATTTGTATTTTGATGGCTAGTGCTGAATTTGTTTCAGCTCTCTTGTATTTAACTGGCTCAGAAGCAAAAGCCAAAGAGGAACATACTCAAGAAAAGCCTGGAACAAGTTCCATTTGAGAACAATAAGCTGTGAATGCACAAAGTTTAAATCTTCTTGCCAACCACTTTCAATTTATTTCAAAAGGTCTTGCAACTCCTGGAGAGATGATGCGACCCTAACACAGTGGAACAATTCTGAGTATAATCAACCCAACCTTCAACGTAACTAGGAATTTCTGAACATCTAGCTCTTCTACATGTTTCCCCAAAGCTCCAGAACAAAGGTACTGTGGAGTTAGATTGATAATACCCACCAAGTTTGCTGTTGTAACTAGGTATCATGACAGGGTGTGCACACACATGTAATTAGTTAGGATCCAGGATCACGTTCATTCTGTGTGTTACAGCAGAATCCTCGATCCCCTCAACAGGCAAAGGCAGTGTCTGACCACTGGGGTAGGGGCACCAGGGGAGCCACGTACCAGGTTAAGGTTTGCAGAATAAGGAGCAGGGTCCCAGGCCACCAAAATGACATCTTTATACAACGAACTGTCGACAAAGTGATGGTTGGGATTGGTCAGAATCTGCAAATATATAAAGAAAAAAAAAAAACAATTTCAGAGCCAGTGCTTGGCTTTTCAAAATTGCATTTTAAAAAGAAGTGAAAATTTTAAAGAAAGTAAGCATACCACCACCACCACCACCACCACCAGTGTCTCATACTGTTTTCCTTTAGGGAAGGGAAAGGCTGCCATCACTTTGCTGATGCCCTTAAAGAGTGTTTGGGGAGATGAAGCTTTCAAAAAAATGGGTCTTACATGTTCCCTCCTCATACCTAGTGGTATAGAATCCAGCTCCTGAAAACTTTAACTCCTGAACTACCTCAGGACCCTAAGCTCTTCACGAGCGCTCTGTCATGTGATCTGGAGGGAGAGTAGTGGGTGTGGATGGAAAAAATTCCTCTGCTGCAGATACCAGCCACAGTCTTCCTCTGTGGCCATGTCTGGTTCTGGAAGAATTCTTCAACCTCCCTTTTTTAGCTATCAACTTGGGGGGAAAAATGCACGGCTCTCCCTCATCTTAGTACACCACCATTACAATGTACATTTTCCTTTACATTGTAACGGCTCTGAAGTCAGGACGGACCGCACAGGGGACATGTATTTTAATTTGGTGGGGTTTATCTCCACCTCTCAGAGAAGTTCTTATTAAAGGAATGGCAGATCTTACAGTCAATGACATCCATGAATTACGGAAATATGGTAATTGTTTCTTTCCTCGCTTCGGGCTGCCTGGCGCAGTGAACTGTGCAGAAAGTTAATCGTTTGTTCTGCAAGAAACTCGTCATAAATCACTTATCGCCTCATTTTTTCTACATATTTTTAAAACCCTAGAAATTGTTGTGGTTTGTTCTAAGAATAATTTTGCCATAAATTTGGAAGACAGTTTGTATTAAGAACACAAGGAAAGGGGGTCTTTTCCTTTTCAATTAAATCATTTTTAGCTTGTGAATTTCCAAATACCAGACTGACATTGCAAAGATAGCCTGCAAACCCTCAGAGGCCGTTCTTTGGTATTTGTCCTCTTGAATTCCTGCCTTTTTTATTGCCATGGTTTCTCCTATGTTCAACTGCCCTTCTCAGTTCCCAAAATGTAACACGCAAGTATATGCTCATAAACATGTCCATATTTATGTTTGTATCTATATCCAGAAACTATCTATTGAGGGAGGGAAGGAGAGATAGAAAAAGAATATATATTTTATGTATCTACTCTGATTTTTCCTTTTCATCTTATTTACTCATTTCCCACTGTTTATATTACACTAAATCCCCATTTTCTGCACTTTTCCCTCACTAATTTGACCCACAGAAATAAGCAGACACAGTGAACATGGATAACCAGATAATTTCTGCTCACTCACCCAGTTAAGCTGTTTACATGCAACACGTACACTTGTAAACACCCCGTCATTTTACCTGGGAATTAATGATGCGCTTGTAAACACCCCGCCATTTTACCTGGGAATTAATGATGCGCTTGTAAACACCCCGCCATTTACCTGGGAATTAATGATGCGCATGGTGGTTCTATTCCCAACATCTTTCTCATACCCACGTGTGGGAGCAGAGTTAAATCTCAGAACTGCATCGTGAGAATCTAAGGGCACACAAATGACAAGCTTACTTTTCTTCTCTGTAAAATCACATAATCTAGGAAAAAGTGGTAAAGCAAAGTTTTCAATATCTGAGGCTAATCACATACAAATAAAGTCAAGACACTCATACACATAGTATTCAGATAATTTACTATTAATTTAGAATAGGATCTGCTAAAGGTATAATGACTGCGTGCGTGTGTGTGTGTGTGTGTGTGCCTATATCATCACCTTATATGTTTATGTGGAATTTTTTAAAAAGTGCATGAAAATTCAGTACTATGAAAAACAGTGCATGGATTTCAAGATTTTTTTGAACCAGAGTTGGGTATAGTGGCACAGTAGGGGTTAAGCTGCCACCTGCAAGGCAGGCATCTCCTATGAGGGCCAGTTTGAGTCTTGGCTGCCTACTTTCAATCCAACTTCCTGCTCTTGTACCTGGGAAAGCAGTGTAAGATGGCCAAAGTGCTTGGGCTCCTACTACCCATGTGGGAGACGCAGATGGAGTTCCAGGCTCCTGGCTTTGGCCTGGCCCAGCCCCGTCATTGCATTCATTGGGGAATGAACCAGCAGATGGAAGATCTCTCTCTCTCTCTCTCTCTCTCTCCCCCTCTCTCCCTCTCTCTCCTTTTCTCTAATTCTGCCTTTCAAATAAATAAAATCAACCTCTAAAAACCAATTTCTCACAGTGAGAGCCACAGCTTTCACTCCCATCTTACCACTTTGGGTGCTGGTGTGTGCTGAAAAAGAAAACCAGCTTTGGTTTCCATGCAGTCTTGCACACTGCCTACAAGACACGGGCAACGGCAACCACAGAGCACTCCACATTCACCGCCATCATGTGCCTGGCCCTGCAGGAGGGCAGGACAGACCGCCAGGGTCACCAGCTGTCAGGACCCCTTTTGATCTGTGGTGGCGCAGTGTAGCCCAGCAAGTGTGAACTAGGACACAAATCTACATCTCATGTCATTCCATTCGACAGTCACACTTCCCCATGTCCTCTCAATGCTGGGCTGTGAGCTCCCTGGGAGAGCTATGACACAGCCTATGACACAGGCTGACAACGAGACCGAGAGGGAGAGGCAGAGGAAGGTGGGCTCACCTGGCGTTTGCACAAGACCGGCCAGAAACACACATGTGTCTCAAAAATGCCCAGAAACCAGCCAATGCCTTTGAGCGTCCTAAGGGTCAGGGCTCAAATTCTGGCTCTGCTTCTGATCTTAGCTTCCTGCTAATGTGCACCCTGGGAGGGAGCAGATGATGCTCAAGTATTGGGGTCCCTGCTACCCAATACGAGGCTCCTGGCTTCTCCCTGGTCCAGCCCTGGATTTGAGGGAGTGAACCAGTAGATAGAAGAACTTTGTCTCTATTCTTGAAATACAAATAATATATATACATTTAAAAATACATATAAAACATTTTTGAAAAGTCTGCCAATCTCTAGATTCAAGGGGATCTATGCTTTGTGTAAATGGTCCCGAATACCTAAACATGTTATATTAAGAGCTGCTTCTTCATTTTCCAACTTGAATTGATTTACTATTTTTACTGAATATTTTATTATAAAAATTCAAATGGTTTTTGAACTAGATAAGGTAGATTATCCAAAGCAAGAGATGTTATATTTTGGTCTCAGAACCCTCTTATCCTCTTAAAAATTACTGATAACCCAAAAACTTTTGTTTGTCAGGATTATATAGACATTCAACACACTAGAAACAGAAAATTTTTATATGTTAATTAATTTACTTTTAAATAACCTTTTTTATAAAAAATATATTCTCAAAAACAAAACAAAGTCGTGACTGGCACTGTATTCATGTTTGTGAATCTCTCACAGCAGGATATTTATGTATTCATTAATTTGAGAGTCTGCTGGTTCACTTCCCAAATGCCAAAAATGGCCAAGATTGGGTCTCAACTCAGGAGCTCCCACAAGGGCAGCAAGAACCCAACCACTTGCACCATCACTGCTACCTTCTAGGGTCTGCATTAGCAAGAAACTGGAGTCAGGAGCTGCAGCCAGGCATCACACCCAGGTATTTCCAACATGGTACACTACTAGTATCTTTTTTTTTTTTTAAGATTTTTTTATTTTTAAGGCAGAGATACAGAGACAGAACAGTGGGGATGGAGTGGAGGAGAGAGCACTTCCATTCGCTGGTTCACTCCCCAAATAGGTGGAATTTAGAAGCCAAGAACTACATCCAGGTCTCTCACAGGGGTGGCAGGGGCTCAGCGACTGAGGCCATTCTGTCACTGCCTCCCCAAGCACATTAACAGAGAGCTGGATGGGCAGTGGAGCACCCAGGACTTGAATCAGTGCCCACTTGGGATGCTATTATCGTAGGCAGCTGGTCATGGGTCCGCCCCGTCACTAGCGTCTTTACCAGCCTCATAACCACGAGGCTCACTGCCTGCTCCACTTCCGGCTTTTTAGAGGACAGCTGGTTTCTCATCTCTGCTTCTGTACTGGTGTTGTACTACATTGTTTAAGTTGAAATGTATGAAGACTCTGACATTGTTAAAAGAAAGAACTATTTGGAAAGTCCTTTCAGAGAATTGTGAACATCCTTCTTTGATAGTTCATCAAAACTTGACAAACTGGCAGACCCGGAAGCAGTTAAGACGCTGGTGAAGGTGCCTGCATCCCACATGGAAGTACCTGGGATCAACACCTGCTCTGGCCCTGACTCCAGCTTCCTGATAGTGCAGACCCTGGGAGGCAGCCCTGCAGCTCAACTGATTGCATTCCTGTCTCCCACCTGACTCTGACCCTGGCTCTGGCTCTCGGTCTGGCCCAGCCTTGGGGTTGCAGGTGTTTCAGGAACAAAACAGCTACAGAAACTCTTTATCTGTATGCATTTCTTTGATTTTCATGTTAAAACAAAAAAGTAAACTTAAAACAACATGACAAGTGTTAGTTGGTTGCCTGTAATGTGTAATCAGAGAGCATATGGATGAAATTTTTTTTCTTGCTAAGTTTATAGTTCCAGATTTTAATTGTTAAAGTACAAAGCAAGGTTCTATTTCATCCCAGCCTGCACTCACCCACCAGGCAGAATCTCATCAGAGTCCTACTTCAAAGAAAATGAGGCTGCCAAAATGCAGACTTTAAAAAAAATCAAAAAGGAACAATTGCAAGTCAGAGAATCCAACAAGCTCTGCTGTGCTAAAATCCATCAGTCTATCTTTCTCTTAACATGATCTTTTATCCATGATTAATTTTATAATATTCCACTGTGATCATTTGAAAACTACCAATTCAACAAATTAGGCAAATCTTCCAACCATTGATGCATTTCATTATAAAGTATTTTTTGAAACCTGCACTAGTTGATATCACCATGGGTCTTGTCTATTTTCAAATGTAGGTAACTTCCAAGCGCACAATCAAAATCAATGAATTTTATCACTGAAAACAAATGCAGTCATTTTCCTAAAAGTGCCAGGCTCACTTAATTCTTTTCTGAGAAATTATGTGCCAAACATCAAAGTCTGAATAATTAAACCATGTCTATCTGTCATTTGCTGCAAGTGAAAATTGTATTTCATGCCCAGACTGTTTGGTTCAGCTCACAAGGCAATCACATAAGCGCTTTTCCATTGTGCCCTGAGATGTCAGAGTCCATTCTCCTGTTTCCCACTCTTCACTCAGAATCTAAAACACACGTGTACTGCAGGGCTGAAGGTTCCATTAATGTAATCATTCTTACAGCTCCTCATGGTCGCCCATAAGTGGAAGTGGCACTCTTCTTTCACTGCAATGCTTAATAGTCAAAAATATCATTCCAACAAGGATCCTTGGCCCTGCTGCCCTGAGCGGTGCTAAGCAGTCAACAGTTTGATCCATTTTTGCTCTCATATTGTCAGTGCAAATGTGGACAATTATAAAGGAAAATATATCTGGCATTATTACAAAAAGAGTTTTCAACTGTGGAGCCCCTCAATGGGTCCCTAGGGTCTCAGCGGATCACACACGCAAGACCCAGGGCTGGTAACCCTGTGATGAGGCAGAAGTGAGAAGCCACTTCCGGCACGGGAGACAGGTGCTCCAAGAGAATCGTCCATGAGGCTAGGGGAGTGGCAGGATGCCCCCAACACCCAACCATAGTTCCCCATGCAACCATGCTGCCTGCACAGAGACACAGCCTCTGTCCAACAGTAAGACAAGCAAGCAGTGGGTGCATTTCAACTGAACCGAGCAGTAATCCTCAATAGTGGTCAAGCTTGAAAACCTCCCAGCATCTTCATGTCCCTTATTCTGGGGCATTGTGTCCTCAGCCTCCTGATACCCTAGGCAGAGGGATGGATCTCCTTCGGAAGCAGTATGCATCTGAAGAGCTACAAGGCTGCCTGCCTCTAGGTGGCACTGGTTATAGGGATGGACACTGCTCCTGCAGGAAGCTGCCAGTTAGCAGGAAGGGTTGGCAGGGGACGGGGAGTGGGAGCAGAGAGGGTATCTATCACACAGGCATGTGTTGTGCAGCCCACGAAGCTAAGTCATCCGTTCATGTTTAGAAAAGGAATGGATCATAGAGCAAGCCCAAGGGGAGGGAAGTCAAGTCTCATTCCAGAAGGTATTTCCAAGCTGGCGCGTTGTAGTGGTGACCATGAGCATGGAGCCCAGCTGAGTGCATCCACTAAGGAAAATTAAACCCTTCAAGGAGCTGCCAGGCCAGGAGGTGGCCAGCACCAAGTCACCGCCTCACTTTGGGCCCGCATTGCTCCCCCTCCTCCTTGCCTGCAGTGATCAGAAAGCAAAAACTGCAACAGCAAGACAGCAGGTGCTGCCAGGGATCAGAACAAAGCAAGGATTCAGCTCGCTCGACTCCCACAGCCCTGGTCTCCTCCCCCGCCACCCTCAACTCTGGGCCCACTTCCCTCCCACCTTCAAAACCGGGCCCTGGGACCATCTGAATGACCTCACTACATCCTGGGCACAGGGGGTTTGAATTCAGACTCTGGGTATTTCCCTTTCTCCATTTCCTTACCTGTAAAATGGGGATAACTATCTATCACTTAGGGTTGTCAGGCTTCACACAGTTAACACACACAAAGCTCTCTGGACAGGAGCCTGTCTGTAGCAAACACCTTCTAAGTGGTACCAAATGAAGCCTTGTGCTTGAAGAAGCGGTGCCAGACAGCTGTGTCAGCTTTCCTGCCTTCCTGGCTGCCTTGTCTCGCTCCTATCCCCATGTCCCTGGATCCCCTATAGTTCTCACCACCAATACAGCACACCAGGCAATTTCCCCGAGAAGCAAGCCATCAATCACCTCTTCAGAGAAGTCTCGCCCCTTCTTCCTGCTCAGCCATCAGCCCACAGGGTGGGCGAGGAGCCCATCACCTGCACCCCATCTGCCTGCACCTGCCCCCATCCTCCCAACCACAGGACATTGGACTTCCTGTTTCCAGTCTGCCCTCTCCACTGGAGTGTGTGAGCTATCAGGGCTGGGTCTGCGTTTTTCATCTCTGTGATGGCACCAGATCTGCTGGCAAGTTGTTCATCACCAATGCTTGTCAAACGACTACATGAAAGGGCTTCTTGTGTTTATTTTTGAGATAACAGGATATGCAGAATCCCAAGCTCTCTCCAGCCAGAACTGTGTGCCCTGCTCTCTCTTTGTCCTCCTCCCCTGTGTCCCACTACCAACACAACTTGCCAGAACATGAGTGCCAAGGACACAGATCATGATCCTCCACATCAAGGCTATCACTGCTGGTTAGGGCAGACCTTCCTCTCTGCAGTCTGCATCCACAGGAGTGCCAGCAGTGGTCTCATAGCCAATTGTAATTGCTGATGTGTATGGGCGACAACAGATATTGTTGTGACACCATAAAAGGATACTCTATGTTTCCAAAGCAGTTCGGTTTGCTTTTCCATTGTATATTTAAAGTGACAGGGTTTATAATTGCCACACTTCTCTGACCAAAAACAATGACATTGGATCAATCCATCCGTCTTAACAGATGGGATGACAGGGCTGCACTGTCAATGAAGCAGACACCAGGGGGCGCTAAAGGGCAGCCGAAACGGACCCAAGGCTAAGTGGTTTTCAGGGAGAGTGAGTTAGCTGCCCAGTACTGGGGCTATCAGGCTGCAGGGGGCCTCTGGGCAGAGCTCCTGTGGAGTGGCTACACAGATAGCCTCAGGCACTTTCTAGCTCTGCCCTCAGTTTTTCATCAGATCACGACCTTTGCTAAGTCTTTGATCTTCACTTAGCCACTTCCCGAGTCGATATTTGGGGAATGTGTGCTTAGCTACAGTATGCCCCAATATTCCATACAGCTTGAGGAGATCTGCTATTTGAACTCAATCTTCCTGTGAGAACTGTGGACAACCATGTGGTCTGAGGCAGACACCCAGGTAGGCAGGAAGAAGGAGACAGGGCAGGTGCTCTGAGATGCCAGCCTACAAAACCCAGACTGTTTGCTTTCATAAACTGAGTTATGTCACCGTTAGGCGTTCTTAAATGGTAGGTAGAAAGTCTCAATCCAAGGAACCGAGACAAAATAAGGAGGATTTTGTGATTTTAGCACGAAGCTGCCTGGAAGTGCACGCAGCATAAATTAAACATGAACACTAGCATCTAGCCAAGATATAACTGGTATTTCATGTTCACCCAAAACATGGGGCTTCCCAGTGTCTTGCATACTTTCTTGCAAACGCTGAATGGAGTTTACAAGTCTCTGGCCAGGGATATTTATGCAGGAATAAAGAGCTAGGGAATTCTCGCTGGCATGGGAGAGCAATCCAAATAGTCTTCATTTACGATGCAGGGGTGTTTAAAAGAAAACAAAACCAGAAGCAAGTTACTGCCTGTTTAAAGCATAATACTTAAATTCCTCCTCTCCGTTATTAACATTGGTCCTCAGAAATGAGAAGGAACCGCGGGGTTATATCACCCCGGGGACCGCTAAACCACGGCTCTTTCTTAATAAATCGCAGGCTGCTCTGCAGTGGCTCCAGCTACAAACTTACGTGACACAGGAGCCTGTTGTAAAGTCAGCCCAGGGACACAGGGACCTAGACCTCAATCCCAGACTCCTCTTTTTTTTTTTTTTTTTTTTTTTTTTTTTAAATTTTTTTTTAAAATGTCTCATCCAGCCTCACGGCCCAAGAACATGTGAGCTAAGGGTGGGTTTCGGAGTCTGCCTACTGAGTATCTCACCATTCTGCAGCCAGTCTTCCAGGATACAGAACAATGAAGGGGTCTGTTTAAAAGGAAGCCGGGAGACAGCGAGTATGCCTTTGTAAGGAGACGCTACACCCTGCACGTCACCTGCAGACCAGTTAGGACCTAATGTCATCTCCCATGAGGAGATATTAAATGCGACTGTTTTACACCTGGACTTGGGGCTGAGGCTGTGTGGGATCCCCGTTTGCTTTCCTGCACCTACCACAGAACCGGGAGCATACTAGGGGCTAAACACATGTTTGTTAAGTGAACGAATGAGCAGAAAGGGCCAAGTTGCTTGCTCACTGGTGAGGAATGGAATTAGCCTGAGCATCCAGAGAAGTTTCAGGAGCACAAGCCAAGCCCCCTCCCCACCCCTCTAAAAAAAAAACAAACAAAAAAAAAAACCGCGGAGGCAGAGAGCGGCTACAGGAAGATGGGAGGCTGTGTATCTCTGGAGAGGGAGAGGCTGGGGAAGGTAGGGATAGGAGTGTGATCCTGTGAGGCTCAGAATGCCACGGAGAGCCAATGCCAGCCCTTCCGTGCAGAGCCTGGGCTCTGGGAAGGGAATACGCTTAACCCTAACTTGCTTCCTTCAGCCAGGGGACACTGGGATCTGTGATGCTTGTGCTAAGTTGTCCAGGCTATGGTGCACAGTTGGTCAAATGCCTGTCTAGCTGTTGCCAGGAAGGCATTTGTTAAATGTGATGAACTGAAATCTGCAGACTCTGATTACGGTCACCTATGTCAGTGGGCCTCTTCCTAGCACTTAAGAACAAACAGACGTTGGAAGGAGTTCAACCTGTAGAATGTGATACAGCCTGAGTTCCCCCACCTGTTGGCCTGCCCCCCAGAAACATGCTGAGACAAGTCCTTAAAATAAACCTCTCTCTCCCCCCTCCTCCTCCTTCCCCCCCTCTCCCCCCTCCCCAATTACTACCCCCCCTCCCCTCTCCCCGGTCTCTCTATCCTACTGCTCTGTTTCGGTGGAGAGTCCCGACTGTGGAGACTTGGAAGACAGAAACCCAGACCCCATAGAGTTATCCCCCATGTTGGAGAAGGCTCCCACTGGGCTCCCGGGGCAGAGACACACAGGTTAGGTTTGGATCAAAACCGAAGAGGAAAGTGCTCACTTGCCCATTGGAAAGTGTGTTCTCTACAGCCCTTCGGCTCTCTTGGGAGCCCCAGGACCACGATTCAGACACGGGACCTAAGGAAACTAATGTTCATGCGGCCTCGTCTCTGGAGCTGCTCATACTTGGGGGGTCTGCTGCACTCCTTATTCCTCTTGGAGTTTCTCCCCCATGTTCCCATCACAGGATGGGTTCACCAGGCTTTGGGGGGAGCCAGGCTCGGAGTCTGCGATGGAGACCGCGGCTTCTATGGGGGCAGTAAGGAAAGATGCCAGGTGCTAGCGTGTGCCGCAAGGCACCAGCTCTAAGAATAGGGGCCCTGCTCCAGGGTCACTCTGAGATCTCCGCTGGGGTCCCAGACCAACTCCCCAGCTAAGGCCAGCGGCACCTGGCCAGCTTCCCGCATCACAGGAGGACCCACCTATTTCCTCCCCCAGGGAGGAGTTGAGGATGGCGCCGGCGGACATGACGACGGCGCAGGTGCGCAGGCCGCGCGGGTGCAGCTGGCTGAGGGGCACGGCGGGCACCAGGCGCCGCCAGCCCAGCGCAGCGAAGGGCGCCTCGGTGCCGTCCAGCGTCCGCACCTGCGCGCGTCTACGCAGCTCGCACAGCAGCTGGGCCCGGCTCCGGCGCGCCGCCCGCGGGCCCCGGAAGCGCACCCCGTGCTTGTTGGCCGCCAGGTAGTCCCGCATGGCCTTCTGCAGGCGCGGGTTCAGCATTTTGGAGGAGACGTTCCCCTTCCAGAGCCGGTATAGGAAGGCCCTGGACATGGAGGCGGCCAGCCGGTCCCCGTCCTCGCCTTCGTCCAGAGGTGCGCGGCTCCGGCGCTGTCGCCTGTGCCGCCTTTTCTCGCGATGCGGACTTTGGCCCGGCGCCCCCGGGGAGGGGAGCCCCAGGGTCCCCTGCGTGTGGCTGGGCCACCCTGGCCGAGCCGCCGCAAACAAGGAGTCGTAGTCCTCTGGGTAGAAAGCACTTTGGGACTTTCTCCCGACCTGGGATGCAAAAAACTCGTCTTCATCTTCAAACCTGGCAGGCACCTGCGCCCACTGCTGCGGGTCGCCGGGTCCCGAGTGGAAGGCACCGGCCACCTGCGCCCCCGGCAGCGCCCTGCTGGCGTCCGCGCCCCCGGGCGAGGAGGGCTCGTGCAGGGCGCCCATGATGGCCCGCTGCTTGCCCTGGACCGGCAGGAGCCCTTGCGTCTCCAGGAAGGAGAAGGAGCTGGGTACCGGCTCAGCGGGGTTGCTGTCGGTAAAGTAGATGAAGACCACCGAAAAGAGGAGCCCCCAAGCGAAGATCCCGAAGAGCATCCGCTGTCTCCATTGCTTCAGGTGTGGTTTCATGGCAGAGCTCTGGGGTCAGCACCTCGGAGCTTGAAGTCGTGGGAGGCAGGCGGGAGCAACCTGAAAAAACAGCGGAGAGCTAAGGTTAGCCAGAGTGGGACACCCGAGGGACGGACACCGCTGTTGGTAGCCTTGCTGAGTGGTGCTTGGGAATGGGGGCATCAGAAAGCAGAGTCCTACATTAGGGGTGAAGCCCTGCCCTCACCATCTCAGCTGGTGCCTATGTATTAGCCACACCGTCCCCAGGTGAGGCAAAGCGGATCTGCCTGCCCGCTTTAAGGGGGCCCCACTGTGCCTGAGTTTAAGGAACTCCAAAGCAGGAGAATTGGGCTGATTTGCCCTCTCTCCCCTACTGTCGGACCACCCAAGGCTGCAGGCTGGCTCATATACATCCTACAGTAGCAGCAGCTCTGTGCCTTTTTCAGGGGTGACAACCGTAGCAGATTGTCAGTCTTCCGCCAGACCTGGGAGCCTGCCCAGACATCGCCAGGAGTCCACTGGTGGTGCTGAATGAAGCCAGCCTGAGCGACTGTGGCTGCGGGAGAACATGATGCCACGCTGCCTGCTGACTTTGACCTTGCCCCTAAATAATGCCGTCTGCTTTTGCAGCTAAGCCAGAATCCCTGATGCCAAGAAAGGAACACAGAGGGAAATGACACCGGCAGTCAATTTGTTACGTGCCACACCCTGCGCTTAACACTTGTCCTGGATTATATCTGCTTTTGATTTATCCAGCATCTAAGGTAGGAAGTACTGCTGTATCTGTTTTTTTTTTTTTTAATTTTTTTTTTTTTGAAAAAAGCATTGTGCTGATCCGAAGCCACGAGCTAGGTGCTTCTCCTGGTCTCCCATGCGGGTGCAGAGCCCAAGGACTTGGGCCATCCTCCACTGCACTCCCAGGCCACAGCAGAGAGCTGGCCTGGAAGAGGGGCAACTGGGACAGAATCCGGCGCCCCCGACTGGGACTAGAACCTGGTGTGCTGGCGCCGCAAGGTGGAGGATTAGCCTAGTGAGCCACGGCGCCGGCCCTGCTGTATCTGTTTTATGGATGAAGACACTGCAGCCCAAACAGGAGTTTAGTAACTTGCCCCAAACCACAGAGAGAGCAAGCTTCAGACATTTATGTTCAAGCCATCTGCTTAGTTCTGGGCCTGATTTTAGGCCCACTTCTAGCAGTGAATTCTGCTTCCATCTGCTCACACCAACTCAGCTTACAGTCTCTAAATTAGGCTCCTCAAACTATCTGTGATGAGGGGTCATTTTCCCCCAAATTGCCACTGTCTGATATTTTTACATTTCCGTACCTAATTGTTGTGACCATTTCCGGTTGCTGTCCAGGTTTCTAAATGCTGAAGTTCAAGTTCTGAGTATCTCTGTTTGGGAGCTGGTAATGAGCAGTTTGTGGACAGGCACAGTGTGCAGACACTCAGCAGTATCTTCTACAGGGCTGTTACTCCGTTCCTGTCTGAACTAGGCGCATTGCACTGACACTCAGTACCTGCAGGCAGCGCAGACCCCCTGTGTCAAGGGTTCAGTCCTCCCCAGGACACTGCCTTGATTTCAGATGACAGCTGAGGGTGGGGTCCCCAGGCCACCACACTTCTGACAGTTCAGCCACCAAAGTGGGGGGCGTTCCTGTGACACCCTTCAGGTTTGACAATTTGCTGAGTGACTAGCAGAAGTGAGGAAAGTGTGTGGTTATACTTTTATTGGAAAGGATACACACAGAGTGGGATCTGGAGGGGATGCGCCAGCAGATACCTCCTCCCAGTGGAATCTGGTGGGGCACCCTCCTGACACATCAAAATGCCCTGTGACCAGAAACTCCCTGAGCCTGTGTGCAGAGCTTTCCTTGATCGATTCAGTCATGGGCCAAGTGATGGAATTCAACCTCCAGGTGCCCTAGTTTCCTTGGAGGTCAGGCAAGTCCAAACTTCCAACCTGGTGACACCTGGTTGGGTTTTCAGGTAACCAACCCCCCTCCCCAAACCCACAGGAGCCTCCCCCAGTGAACGCATTAGCACAAGAAAGACAGCCCTATTACCTAGGGGTGAACCAACAGCAAAGGAAGACCTTTCTCTCTGTCTCTCTCTCTCACTATCTACTCTGCCTGTCCAAAAATAAATAAATAAATAAATAAAAATTAAAAAAAAAAAAAAAAAGAAAATTCCAAGAGTTTAAGAAGCTCTATTCCCGGAGCCTGAGTTTTTATTTTCTTACACCAGGACTAGATAAGAGGCCTTGTAGACTCAGTTTTTCTGCCTCTTTCCCCAGCACTGCCACAGCAGCTCTGGTGGGCGACCAAAGAATGGCAAACAGAGGTTGCTAATTTCAGCATTTGCTGCGAATGGTTTTTAAAACACAGAGGCAAAGGGGCAGGCTGTGCAGAGTGGGGGAAGGTGACACAATGCTGGGAAGCAGTGAGCTGTTGGGAAGAAGTTGAAAGACGCCTGGCCTGGGCCAGCACCTCCAGCATCAGCTACATAACTTTGCCCAAGTTCAGTGGCATCCAGAGGAGTGCTACCCGCTGAGAAAGTGACCCTGCTTGGTTTCATGCAGGATTCAGATGAACAGGCATAGACTTCATCAGGTGCAAAGACCTGGGTCCCGATGGAGGAGAATGGAAGCCTTGCTTGTATGTGAGACGCCAGACATGGAAGGGGGGGGGGATAAAAAGGACATCTGGGGACACACAGAAAGGTAAAGAAGAGCCTAGCAGGACAGAGGAGGTGAGGACACTGGACAGTGTGTTCTCTGCAAGGCGCCCTCGGAAGTAGAAAGAGGCAGAGTTCACCTGGGCACCTGTGAAGGGAATATGCATCCCAGTGCAAAGAAAGATGTTTTTCCACTAAGGAGAATTACCTGGCTCAGAATGCATCGTAATAATAGAAAGAAGTGGGTTTGCTGCCTGGACTCAGGATTTGGCTTCGACTCTTGATCCTCAGAAGCCTTCGCCGCACACCTTCCCTGGCCAATTAAGCGAGTGTTCTCCAAAGTGATGAAATCTCAAAGACAAACAGCAAGCTCTCTGCTAGACAACGCCACGGAAATGGCTCTGCACAGCATGGGGCTCACTCATCAGTGTGCTTGTGGCAAGTCCAGGGTACAGTGGAGGTGGGGACGTCATCAAGATTGAAGCCGTGAGTCGTCCTTTTCCTGGCAATGGCAACGCTGCCTAACAGAAAGGCAGGCAGGCCAGGCGATGGGAAGCCCACTTTTCTCTCTAATGGAGTGCGTCTGAAACATTAGGATGACAGAGCTTAACCGAAGTCAGCTGGGATCCCCTCTGCAGTAGCCCCCCATTAGCTGCTCTGATCTGAATGACGTCCGGGAACTGTAAGAGGCCCGTCAGGCAAATTGTGTGTCCCCAGGCGCCCATGGCAAGGTGCTCCCGAATCAGACCTTCCCGTGTGTTCTGCCCAGGATGGCTGGGGCGCTGCTGCTGTTGGGTTCTTGCCGGTTCCCCGCATGGCCTTCTCCTCCTCTCCTTGGTGAGTGCCCTCTGCCCTTTGCACTGCTTCTCTCCACTCCCGCGGTTCTCCCACTGCTGTTTCCTTTCTTGCCAAGACTCCAGGAAACTCCTGTTTTTGCAGGAAAACTCAGAGGGCCCCACTGCTGGAAACTGGATCCTTCTACAATCGCGTATCATGAAGGCTGGTGCTCTTCTCTTAGATACTAATTCCCAAACAAAGAAGCACGTTGAAATCCCCCATGGATATTCAGGCTAGTACAAAAGACTGTTTAAATTCTCCCTCAAATGGTTCTGAAAGAAATCACGTTTTCCAAAAGGCCCAATTTATCACAAGTTGTCAGATGAAATTAGGAAATGCAAACAGTGCCACAGAGGAAGGCCACCATGCAGCCTACAGTTCAGGCTGCTAACTCCTCTTGTCCAAGGGCAAAGAGAGGTTAATTCTAGGCCTTGCCATTTTAATGATGTCCCTCCCAAGCCCTGGAGGGGACAGGCTTTTATCACCAGTTTTCTTGAATGCAGAGTTGTTTTTTTTTTTTTTTCTTTTGCTATGCTCTTTGATTGATGGATCTGCTACACCCTCCAGCTGGCCAGGTTTTCTATGGTTTTGAGAAGCACCAGGGTTCTTTTTTTGTGTCTTGCAGTTGTCTGAACTAATCTTAAATCCAAGTGTTTATTTTAACATTGAAATACTGAAGAAGATTTAGTGTGAGCTATTGTGAGACACACGCGTGTATCCTCGTAGCTTTCAGGAGTCATTTTCTTTCGAGAATCATGTTTCTAAAATTAGCTCGTGTCACTGTCACATGTCTGAGAAATCACTGAGCCTGCAGGAGACAGCAAGGTGCTTCCCCAGCTGGAAACTTTCTGTCTGCACAACCCCGTGCACCATTTACAGGGCCCTTTCTGTTTTCTTTTCTCTAAGAATGTCCCCAGAGTGCTAAGTGCAGAATGCTAAGAGCCCATGCCCTGATTCATTCTCTCTCTAGTCCCAGCCGATGATTTTTAGGCTAATGTCCAGAAGAACAGGAAGTTCAAGGAGCACAGCGAAGCATCCTGGTGGCAGGAAAGCACCTCCTTCCGTATCTAAGGAGTGAGATCCAGGCAGCCTCGCAAAGTCATTGTTTTAGGAATGGCAGCCCCACTGCGGTGCCTGCTCCTTGCAGTGGGGAGCTATGGATGGATGGTGTAGTCCCATGTGCTAGGAAGGGCAGCACTATGGCTGGCAGACCCACGTGACCTCACTTTGCAAAGCCCTAAGTTTTGTTTTATTCTAAAGATTTATGTATGTATTTGAAAGAGTTACAGAGTGAGTAGCAAAGGGGGGTGGTCTTCCATCTGCTGGTTCACTCCCTAAGTAGTTGCAAAGACCAGGGTTGCTCCAGGCCAAAGCCAGGAGCCAGGAACTTCATCCAGGTTTCCCACTTGGGTGGCAGGGACCCAAACACTTGAGCGGTCTTTCGCTGCTTTTCCCAGGCCATTAGCAGAGAGCTGGATGGGAAGTGGGGCAGGTGGGACAGGAACAGGCACACTTATGGGATGCCGGTGTTGAAGGTGGCGGCTTTACCCACTGTGCCACCATGTGGGC